TCTTCATAAACTAGCATTAGCCAGAGTGAGGCTTCATTTTTTCCCCATACAGACTACCATAACCAGCAGAGCCGAGCTGCACGAAGGTAGCAACTGTCCACATCTGCATTTACTGCAAATCCAAACTACATCCAGCAGGTTAAAAGCAGAAAGTTTATATCAGCATAGGACATAAGCAACGATATGTAAGCTGGTTAATATGGACACAGTTACAAGGTCATCTTGAAATGATCAGAAGCTGATCATTCTTCAGTAATAAAGGTATTAAATGGAAAAACTGTTTATCCTTCCAGGATCGAATGTCCTACTTTTAAAGTCAGAGTGTGCACAGAGAAAACACACAAAACAAGAACTCAGAATATGCAGGATTCAGCCAGCCTGCAAAATGAATCAGAACAGATTTGGAAAGCATCTTTTCTCAAGTAAAAAATACAGCAGCATAACTCAAGTCTGCTAATTTGAATCTTAAACTATAACAACAACTAGAGAAGTTTTTCCCATTATTTAAAGTGAATGTTTAAAAAGAACTAACCCCTTATAAGCTACAGTTGTATTTTTCTAAATGTAAGACTTATTTTTACTGAAATAAGCTATATTTTCTCTTTATGGTAGTAAGGTGTGATTGATAATTATATATATCAAAAAAAGAAATGTACTTTATTGCTTACCTTAAAAACTGAACAGATGTAGACATCAGGATGACGTGTAAGAGCTCCTCAACCACGCAGATGTTATTGTCTTTAATTCCAACACTGCAGAGATGAACAGGAAGAGGTTGTCATACAAGAGATACAAAGCAATTCATGTTCTATGCTGCAAAAATGAAAACAGTTACCTGATAGATGTGAGCTTTGGCAATGAGGGCAGAAGAGAACAGAGTAATTCAGCTCCTTCCACACCCAGTCTGTTATTGGAGAAACTAAACAGAGGAGAACAAACATAGAGTTCAATCAGCAGTGCTCAAACTAAATGATTTAGGAGGAGGAGAGGATCTTATTTGCACACCGATAATGGGTATAATTAGCGTTTACCTTAACCAGAAACATGCCACATAAACACTAGGTGGTGCTAGAGTACTTGCTCTTTTACCTCCCCACACATGCCATGTCCTGCTGTTCCTCTCTATGCAAGCACACTGTGCAGAGTGGAGGGGTGGATGCAGCTGGTGTAGCACCACCTCTTCTCATTACTAAGGCAGCTAGCAGCTCTGTGCACCGTATAAGATGTCCCTTTTATAATATGAGCACCTGTCTTAAACATTGTCTGTGCATGTCACTGACCATAACATCCAATTTTTAACTTTTAGCCACTGACTAAGCTGGAACTAGGACCTAACTGATTGAAAAATAGAAACACTAAATCAGTCAGTTTTTCATGGAAAATAATACTTGATATGAAGTGTTAATCCCAGCAACCTCCACACACAAAAGCTTTATTCTTTGACTTTTAATGTGCGTTCAACAGAAATATAAGAAATGACAATGTCAGAGACGTTAACTTTAATAAAAAATTAAAAAAAAGATAATGTGCTTGTGCTACTGGTACGCAGGTGAATCCCACATCAGATATCATGGGGGAGAGCGGTGGCCTAGTGGTTAGAGCAATGCGCTTGTGCTCTGAGAAGGTTGCAAGTAGCCGATTCGATCTCCACAGCCTGCACTCTGGGTCCCTGAGCAAGACCCTTAATCCCTGATTACTCCCCAAGCACCGCACAGTGGCAGCCCACTGTTCCCCAATGGAATGGGTTGAGATGCAGAAGTGAATTTCTCCATTGTTAGATAAACAATGTTCAATTATTATTATTATTATTATTATCAGTTATTATGAATTGATTGTAATAAAAACTGAACATGAATTTTCTAAGAATGCATTTTTTCCTGAGTCAGTACCTGATTTGGCTGATTTCAGAGTTTTTCATCAGGACCAGCTGTAGTGTAGCATGGTCGATCCTAAAAAACAAAGTTGATTCTGTTAACGACAAACATCTTGAACATGTTGTTCTGTATCTGCACTGGGTTTTCTATCTATGAGGAGTGTATGTTCTGGTCATCACGCCTGTTACCTGATCGTTTGAATGGGTTTGCAGAGCTGCAGGCAGCGGCACAGTAAGCGCACGGCTTCATCAGTGCCAATCCAACATTCTTCAATACTGAGGAAGAAAATTGAAGAGCTACAACATGTTAATGGTTAAATGCCATCGTCCTCTAAAATCAAATAGTGATTATCACTCAAATCCTACAGAGGCAAAAAAAAGTAAACTTTGGTAGCAATGCGTGTCTGAATGCTCTCACCTGAAAGTGCATCCTTTTAGATTACAGTTAAAAACTGTCACAAAGTTTTCAATCCACTCAGACTGCAGCTTGTTGTTCTTTAATCTGAGTGGCACAGATAAAACACAGATAAATTGGTTGTTTTAAGTTACATCTGAATATAGACTGAATATGAGAGCTGAAATATTTTAGCTTTTATTTAGATTTTAACTTTTTAGAAAGCAAAATACATTTCCTGTCATAAATATTAGCATTGTTATTCCATAAAAGCTGTTGCATATTAAAAATACTTTATTTCTAAAGTACTGAACTTTTACTATGAGGCTGAGAATTACTTACTCTACTTTGGTCAAACTGGGACAGCTGGACACAACCTCTGCTAATTCCAGCAGATGGTCACGTTGCAGCATGCTGTCTCTGACACTGGAGGACAGAAACAAAAAAAAACTGGTTTCTAAAAGTTTTTTGGGGGGGTTTCTAATTACTAAATCTTGTATTATTTGAATATACAATCTTATAAATGATAGCAAGAACACAAAGGAAAATGGCTTAACCAGGTGCTACTCAAAAACCACAAAGTTTAGTTTCAATATTACCCAATATTTTTTGGGGGGGGACCCAAAAAACTAAAGATTCTGTTTAAGTTCTGTTTTTTTTTTTTTTTTTTGCAGAAAAGCCAGTTTTAAACATAGCCATAGAAACGGGGTGCTGACCAAGAAGACATCTCTGGTCCAAAGCTGACCCCTTCTGGTTTGACTGAAATTTGCAGTTGCCCAAAATAACATCAAATATTCCACACACAAAAAAAGTTAAAAAGAAAACCACTGGACTTTTTTTCTCAAAGTTTGAAGACGTTTCGCTTCCCATCCAGAAATGTCTGCCGTAGTGTGGATCTTCAGGCTTTATATGATAGCCCAACAAAAGCCTTGTTAAGGCTTGGAAAACATGCAAATTGAACTGAAACAGGTCCACCCCTTTGTAATGGGAAGTCCTCAAGGTTGAAACCTCGAATTTCACAAAAACCAATAACACAAATTTACTGAGGGATGGACCTGTTTTTTGGTTAAATTTCCAATTTTTCCCAGTCATAACACGGCTTTTGTTTGGGTTACTCTATAAGCCCGGAGCTCAATGCTACTCCAGACATTTTGAATTTAGAAAGCTTCCTGGATGGGAAGCGAAACGTATTCAAACTTGGAAAAAAAAATTCCAGTGGTTTTGTTTTTAACTTTTTTGGTATGGCTGTGATCTGGATGACTGATAATCTACACCAGCAATATCTTCTGCAATATCTTCTGCAGAATATTTTTATGATCAGATGGGACAAAGAGGATTTTTTTTGACTAAATGACATGAATTATGTTTGCTTTGAAACCTAACATCAATCTCCTAAAATGTCCCATCATGCATGGTAGCATCATACTATGTGGAGCTGCGTCTCTACTAGCAGCACAGGTATACTGAATGTATGGAAATAACAAAAACGGATGGTTTCCTGGAATGGACCAGGTCCATTCCAGGAAACCGTCCCATTCAAATAAATAAAGCACTTTTCCAGAACAGGAGTCAAACATCCGGACAGAATTATGCCAGAAGCTTGTTTATGTCGCAAAAAGTTAGGTTATAAGAGATATTTACCTAATGTTGGTAGGGGGTCTATGTGGGGATTTACAGACTCTACGTATAATTTTGAGCCAAACTGAATAAAAGAAATACACATTGATTTTCTGATAAATCTATAAAAGACCAAAATAAAGGAAATTTTACCCATCAATGAGTATTTTAAACTAATCCTATCAATATAATCAGAGAAACTGTAACGAAGGGATAGAGCATTCGACACTTGAATAAAAGCCTCATATAACCCTCAGATCATTTTAAAACATGCAGAAAAGGATCAAATTAGACCATTTTTTTCTTCACTATATTAAATCCAAACAGAAAAAATATGCCAAAATAAAACTGTTAGGGAGAAAAAAATAAACTGTTAAACATATTAACCAAACTCCTTCTCAGGAGGGTGGAAGAACTCTATAGACAGAAAATATCTTAATCATTTCTCTTCACCTGTGGACATTTTTAATAACATTGTAGAAGTTTAAGCCCCATTTTCTCCAAGGTGTACAAATCTGTTCTCAGCTTTGTAAAGTAAAAATGAAGGTAATCTAAGGGGAAGAATATATTGAATGTTAATAATATTTTAAACTTAATAAAACTTTAACATGATCCAAAATTATCAAAAAACTATGATTAAAACTGTTGCCATAGCTTCAGTTAGTTCATCAGAGTCAAGCAGAAAAATCTGGACAGCACTTTCTGAGACAATGACTTATTCAGTAGATCTGGATCTGTTTTGCATCTGAAGTTTCTGCAACATATTATTTTTAAATTAAAATGCACCTACATTAAGGGATAAGATTGAATTTGTCTTTTAAACCCAAACACACAAAAATTATAAACTTTAAAGGCTTAAAACAAATAGACATGATCTCATTTCATCTTCTTACCTGAGAGTTTTTTCACCTCCTTCTTTTTGTCTAAACCATATCAGACACCTTTCATCTTCCCCCAAACTAACAGAAAATACAACAGTTATTGGACAAAGAAACAGGAATGTTTGTTTGTGTGTGTTTATGACAAATTTACCTGACTTCCACAGCAGAAACGTTAGTGCAGGTACACAGGGTTCTGGCTACATCTAACAGCCCCAGCCGGCTCAGGCTGTTCTTACTAAGACTGAAAATGGAAAAAAAGTATTAAAAGATCAGCGCATTTTTATTGATAGGACATATTGCATCAATGATAAAGGAATCATTATAGTGTAATAATGATAAATGTGTCTTACTTTATGTAGCTGCTGACTCTAAGCCTTGGGAGATATTTCAATAAACATCTCACCCCTTTATCTTCCAGCTGGTTTCCTGATAAACTGTAGCAGAAAAGCCATATAGTAAGTTTAAAAAAAAAACTATGGTTATGTTACATTTAGATAATGCGTAACTATGAATTTGCTCTAGTTCATACTCAAGAAAAGAGAGCTGCTGGGCCTGCTGCAGAATCCCAAATAGGCTGTCCAAAAATACGTAGTTGGGTCCTTTGAAAGAAAAATCTGTCAGCCTGAAAAGAGATTAAATACAGATTCATTAAATCAAAACTCTGCAGCCTCTAACAGATTTCCTTCCAAGGTTCTATTAGCATTAATTGAATTTATTGTCACAACTCTGACCAGATTCCCTGACAATGCTTTAAACTTCTTTACTTTCTACTTCTCTGTGTTCTTTGATCTTCATGATGCCGGGGGTTTTAACATATTTATATATTTATATGAAAAATGAATTAAACTACAGTAAGGTGGTGTCTGTTGACTGATTACTAACTTCTGAAGTTCTAATAATTGATTGTATTAGACTTAATTCATTGTGTCAGAGAAAATAGAACTAAAAAAATGAGGCTTACATATTTCAGATTTTTTTTTTACATGAAAAAATTTAGAAAACAGTTTTTTTAATTCATTCTCCATAACATTTAACCATTTGTGTTGGTCTGTCTCTAATATTCTGAGTAAAATACATTGCAGTTTGATACTGGGATGTAATCAAAGGGTGTGAACACATTAGCAAAGCACTGTAAATATGAACAGACAAACATAAAAAGCCTTTGTTTTCTGATTAAAGCAAGTGACTGTAGGTAAGTTTCATATTTGGCCTATTTGGTACACAAAAAGTGAAACTAGACCAGGCTGAATGTGATGTCCTGTGGTAATAATAATGGTTTAACCAGGTGATCAGCTGGGAAAAAACAGAAGTTAGACATGCAGAAAAAGGCACTCATAAATGCTCAGGTATGTTCTGGACTGTTGACTACCAACCTGCAGCTTACTTCTTTCATCTTTACCTCTTCAAAATAAATGAAGGATTCACCCTGAGGACTGAAAAAGGAGATAAAAGCATAAATTAACTAAAAAATATCAATGAAAATATATATACAAAGAATCTAATGAAAACATATACAGATACTGTGCAAATGTATTATTTGGAGCCATAGATGTCAAGACAATTACATATAAAAATATAAAAAAAAATCACATTTAACATTTATGTGAAAGCACCTGAGCTCTGCTGATGAGACTCGATGATTGCCAGAGAAACAGCTGATTAGTGCAAGTGCATTATCAGGGGACCAGATACTGTCACTAACGCTAAAAGCAAAGGGAGAACATTTTGTTATCAGCAAAAATTTCAAACAGATACCAGTTTAAAGCATTAATAACATAAATTTGCCTTACATCCATACTAAACAAGTCATTCCTGACATTTACTTGGGTATAAAGCATAAAATGCCTGAAGACAAAAATCCAATAAGACAAATACGTCAGGCATAAAAAACTGCATCTTTTATCTCTGACTGATCATCAGATATTAAATTTCTCACAGCATAACGGTTGTTTTTTTTTTTAACATTGTGGCATTACTACAACACAACTGTTCAAGTTTTCACACTTCACTTTCGGGAACACAAGAAACCCTGAATTGTTTTTTTGTTTGTTTTTTTGTTTATGACGCAAGAGAGTTACACTCCGAACCAACATTCATATAATTTTATTGTGGGATTTTCTGATCAGATTGTGACAAGTGATATGAAATTAGAATTAAATTCTGCTTAGAGTTTAAATTTATTTTTTTGACAATCTGGATCCTGTACCTCTTTCTGGTTTACCTTCTGTTTTGTTTTTCTCTGTCTCCCTCATTTGGACTTTCAGCTCATTAGTTCAGCTTTCTTGTCTGGCAATGCACAGCTTACATATTACTTTTTTATTCAACATAAAACTGATGAAAACTAGACTAAAACCTTTTTGAGTTTTAATTGACCAAAACCAATTAAAACTATCACATATAGTCATGACTAAAATATATCTAAAACTAATAATACTTTTCTTCCTAAAGATAAAAACTAAGACTAAATCTAAGAAGGCTGTCAAAAACAACATTGGCCTGGATTCGATATTTATCAAGTTCTCCTGTAAAAACAACTCCTAGTTTTAGTCTGGGAGGGAGACACCCTTTCTATTTTTAAGACTGGGCCTAAAACCTTCTATTAGATAAAGCTTATAGTTAGAGTGGCTCAGGTTATCCTGAGCTATCCCTACAGTTATGCTGCTATAGGTGTAGGCTGCTGGAGGACATAGGGACCCCATTTCATAATTCTGCTTGATTCTTTTCATTTCTCTCAGTCCTTATTATTTGTTAGTAAACCCCTTACTTAAAAGTTCTCTCAGCATAGCAGCTCAATCTAGCCTGGTGTTCTCTTTAGCTGTGACACCATCCTAGAAGTCAATCACAAGCAGGGCTGATGCCTTCAACAACTTCCTTCATAGATGTAAGATGAAAGTGCTTAGTCCAGTAAACTAGTGTATCGTTACTTTTTCTAACATATAAGTATTTATGGATTGGTGATTGTATATTTCTGTTGTATGTCTGCTTTTGTCTTCTTTAACCCCCAAATTTGCCTTGACAGAATGCTGCTCATATTGAGCCTAGTTCTGCCAGAGGTTTATTCCAGTTACAAGGGAGTTTTTCTTGTCCACTGTTGCTACACGTAATGATCCATGGTGGAAACACCTGCAGAGTCAACAACAAAATGTAAGCAAAAAGATACTGTAACTACATCCTCATCCAGGGGAAGCAAATTCTGCAAAGCTGATATCCTTAGACAGAAAACTCTGAACCAATCTGTCTGAATGATTTAATTGAACTGTCTCTGTAAACTGCAATTAGGTAACATGTGTTGTGAATTTGCAGTTTATAAAAAAACTTAACTGGATTATTTCTCTTCATCCAACTTTAGCTGGCACTTTATTCTTGCTCCCTAAAATCGGATCTACATCAGTTTATCAGCCTCTTGGCTCTTAATCAGTGATCACTTCCTCCTCCATATAAAACTACCCGGTATTTTCTTGGCTAACTGTGCTTGCTAATGGTTTCTGCCTCTTCATGCTTCAATTCTTTTCCCTTGAGGTTGGTGAACCCCTTAAATTTTTGTTTTAGTCTCCAAAATGTTTCCTGGTTCAGTTTCCATTCACCATGACTTCTCATTGCGTCCTTCTGTCAGTGTTTTCAGTCCTTACCTTTTTATTATGACATCATGCAGACTGCACAGGCACAACTCAGTAAAAGTCTGTATTTTATGGACAGTAGTCTGACGGGAAAGGGGGCATGAGAGAGGGGGAGAGACATGTGGGAAAGGACCACAGGCCAGATTCAAACCCAGGTTGCCCGCGTCGAGGACTAAGACCTCCATACATGGATTGTCTGCGCTATCCACTGTGCCACCAAAGCACGCCCAGTGAAAGTTTTACTTTTTTTAAATCCTTGAATTCTGAAAGGACATTTTCCAACAAATTCTTTGATTTCTGTAGAATATTGAAGTCTTACTTGAGCCTCCGCAGCGACAACATCTTTGGCAACACTCTCATCAGATTTTCAATAGATTTCTCAATAAATGAGCATCGAGTGAATCTAAAACAACACAGAATATTATAAATATTATAATATTATAAATGTAAAGTCAAAAGCGAGTTAATAGGGAATGCTGTAGCTCACTCCAACTCCAAACTGAAGCGACACTGGACCAGTTTCCTGCACACTTTGTTTACATCACATGGTGTCAGTGAGGTTTCATGAACTCTGAAAAATACAAGAAAAAACTCCGGCCATGTGTTCATTTAGGCCCTGAAAAAATGCTCTTTAACTATAATCTTTTTACTGTACCTGAATATCTTTGTGTTAGGTTTTCCATCACTAAAATGAGAGAACAGTAAGTAAAATACATTAAAAGTAATACAGTCATAAATTAGAAACTTTTATAGAAATATTTTCCTACCTTGTGTCAGAACTGAACTGTAGCATCACCTGGTCTTTGCCTCCGTTACTTTAAAAAAAGAAACAGACACAAGCAATAAAGTTTTTTGCAAACAATAAATATCATAAGTACCACATTTGTTAATAGATGCCATGGTTGATGATAGATGTCTTCAGTGTGCAAAAATCCTTTTCCTAAAATTGGTTTGGTCTCACTTTTATTTGTACAATCTTGATTTTATGATTGAATGAAGTTGAAATGAAGCTAGGCACCAATTTATATATATATTGCCCCAAATGAAGGCCAGTGAAGGGATCAGTTTACCAGGACAAGCTAGGTGTTAACAGGCTTTGACAGGATTAAATTCCAGCTTAGCTTTAAAGGGGACATAGAATCATTATATAGGGTGTTAGGTGCTGGTCCATAAGGTCTCTGAATAGGGTGTGTGACACTGGTTGGGCTGAAAATGGCATATTTGCTGTTCTATGAGCCTTAATGCAAGCCTGGTTATAAGACCCATAATGAAATGACAGGTTTTCCTCCTTATATGGTATGCTCATGAATATTTAGATGAGCTGTGCGCTGATTGGTTGGTTTACAATGAGCAAAGCTGCTGAGCAAAGACACATCATAGCAATAAGCACTCACTCACTGAAACATCCAATTGTTGATATGGTAGAGTGACCAGACGTCCTCTTCTTCCTGGACATTTCATACAGTACCTAATACCTAAAATACCTGCTTTTCATGCCTAAAAAATGTCCAGGGGGGATTTCAAAAACGTCTGGGATTTTGGTTGACTACAGTGCAGCAGAACCAAGCCGTCAGCTCCAGGGGACCAAACCTGACCCGGTGACTGTAGCCTGGACACCGGTGGTCCCGTGTCCCGTACCGTCACCGGGTCGGGTTCGTTCGCTCCGTCCCTGGCTGGCTTGCTGCCCCTGTGCACCAGGGTTCCCGGACCAGCCCCGGAGCTGATGACTTGGTTTGAATGCCCAATCCGGGCCAGTCAGCGGCCCAGAAGCCCCCCCCCCAACAAAAAAGAAAGTGTCCTCCTTTTCTGAAACCCAAATCTGGTCACCATAGATATGCTAGCATTGCTATCAACAGCTTAGCCACAAAATTATATTTACAGCTTGCAGTTGTGACTTACGGTCAGAACAGCCCCTCATTTCAGTAAAAGAAGTTTAGCAAATCCTTCTTTGAACTGTCCAAGATTTTGAAAGCTGTCTTCGGTAAAATGCTTAGAGCAAATGAACAGCTGAGCATCAAGCTTTGCAGGGATCTTCTGATACACCAAAATAATCCATGCCTGTTGATTCTTCGGATCCTTGGGAAGACTGTGAAAATTTCCCCCTTTCTCCGTGCAGCCTGGAACACAGCATTTACGCCCCTGGTTCTGGCTCATTTTCAATAGAGAAACTTGCTGCTTTGTAATTCTTGCAGCAGTAAACCCAACTGTAGGCTAAACAGCTAAACTGGTGTCTTACATCTACCTCTACTCATGTTCTTGGGTCAGTGAACCAGTGGGCTGGTCTATATGTCAATTTCGGTGCATGACAAAAGTACAGAACAGAACATAGCATAAGCCCTCCATTTCACAATTGTGCACTACATTCTGTTAGTCTATCTGTTCCCAGCTACTGCTTTCATCTGGAACAAATGACACCTAAACCTCTTCTTTTTAGTTCCTAGATTTTCCGAACCTGGTTCTGAAGTTTGAATCAGACTTAGCTTTTAATAACAGGTGCTGACAGGCTGTGCTCTGATAAAATCTAATTACACACCAATATAAATAAAATGTTACCTTGTGTATATTGATGTTAATCTGTGAATGACACACAAAGCATCTGCCAGCATTACCACTCCATCCACGCTGATGCTATTGGTGCTGAAACTGAAAAAAACAACATGCAGGAAATATAATAATGCAGTAGGCAACAGAGCTGTGTGTAGATAACAGTTTCAGAGAGCACACATAAAAGCGAACATCACTATTAAGTAAAGAAGAAACATAATACCAAGTTCTCTAAAACAGATTCTATGTCAGTTCACAAAAGCTTACACCAGAAAACAAAATAACAATCACAGCATTCTCAGATTAGCTAAAAAACTTACTTCACTTGTTGGACTCGACTGAGATGAGGCAGGAAATCCAACAACTTCTTTAGTCCTTTGTCGCCTAATTTGTTAAAAGACAAGCTGGAAATATAAAGTAAAGCAAGACTGGAGTAATTCACAGTGTACAGAGTTGAAGAGTATTATTAATTACGTTCTGTTTTTATACTGCCATTATCTTACTCCAAGTGAGAGAGATCAGAGGACGTTCCCAAACTTCTCCAAATTCTTTCCAGGTCATTGGGTTGAAGATTACAGCAGCTAAGGCTGAAAGACGATGCAGAATTCTATTATGTTTTTTAATATATCGATATGAGATTGTATTTATCAGGATGAAACTAAAGTAAAAATACATTTTATCAACTGTTTTTAATGTGGAGCAGAAGCAGAGATTAGGACACCATGAAAATACATTTAAATTTCAAGAAAAAGACATTGCGACAATGGAGTAACTCATTGGTTCCCAAACTTTTCTTGGTGGGCCTCCCTCTGATTTAAAAAAGTGTTTTACCTCCAACCAATCCAACCAATCTTTTTGACAGTTGATATCACCACATCAGTTTTTCTTATAACGTCTCAAACCATTTATACAAACAGTAAATAATGATTATTTGGAAGTAGTTATAGACTAACAGGTGTGCTGCAACAGCCATGGCACCTTTTTTGGCAGTCACATGCCACCGGATGTGCCACTATTCTCCAGCTGACACCGGAAGTGTCACTACCAGATGCCGCTGCCACAAATTGAGCTTGGATCTGCTGCAATTGTTTGAACACTGAAGCTGCAAGAGCACAAAGATTTCTATACGTACCAGAGAGTTTTGGAAAGAACATGTTCAGTTCTATGTCTCCCTCCAGAGAAAAAAACAGAAACTTCAACTGGATCCTGCAGCCTGTGAAGTAAAGTGAAGTTAGGGCACAAGTGAGAACTGTTTGCATGAAGTCACTCCTGGTTTGTCTGATTACAGTGAATCTTGGTATTAGGAAACCCAATGATGGCTTAATATGATTGCACATTTTGATGCTAAAAGCAATACAGTGTGGTAAATCATTGCATTGGTGGTAGACATTAGTAAAACATTAAACCTGTTTTGTACCTGATGTTTATGTCCATCACAGAATCACAGTCAGACAGCAAGGCGGTGATATCAACCACACCCTGCACTGATGAGCAGCTGCCATTCAAGCTGGCATGAGACAAAAAACATGGTGCTGTTTATTTCCATTAGTAACGAGCATTTAGAGGTGGTTGGGATGGATGTTTTGACTTACATAATCCTCTCAGTGATGCAGAACCTTGGCACAAACTGAGTCAGCATTCTCAAACTCTCCTCATCCCAATCGCCTCCAGAAAGACTGAGGTACAAAAACAGAAAGGTCAAACACACATTCTGGTTATTTCCAGTATGAAGTTTTTAAACATGACATAAAAAGCAGTGAAAAACAATTTTCCCATCTAAAGATAATTTTTTTCTTTGCTTATTTGTGACTCTGAAAGGTTTTAGATCTGTTAGCAAATCTTAAAGATGATCTGATTTAAAACAAAACCCCTTTCATTGTGAATTATCCAAACTTAGAGATCTAGCCCCATGCTAGAAAAGATTCTTCCACCCTTGCTATAAGGCACTGTTAACTGGCCCATTAGTCTTGGCAGAGTTAATTAAAATCTGTGATATTAGAGGGTTTTAACCATGAATGCCAGCTAGTGGTCAAGATCAAGCCGCACCTGTCAGTCACCCTACAATGTCCTGGCATTTTGGATACTACAAGATTATTCTACTTCTTTCTGCTCGTGGCCACCTTCTAGCCATGTTTGGGTCTAACCAGCAGCATACCTGTACACTTCCATCTCAGCATCTGTGTGTTTTGCCTCCATGCTGATAATAAATAATAATAACAAATAATAAATAATTCTGCAGCATCTCAATCTAATCCGGGTCAAGACTTTGACTAAGCAATGCCAAAGTAATTTTTTGTTGTTTTGTTTAAAGCAATTCAGCGGTAGACTTGCTGGTGTGGTTTGGATCAGAATGCTGTATAACCTTAGTTAAGATAAAACAATGGTCAAATATTCTACAGTAGCAAACCCCCACAAAACCATGACACTAAAACTCATGTGTCAGACTATGATGTTCTTTTTGGAAATGCTGGTAGTTTTATACCACATGTAACTCTGATTAAATTTGTTATTTCACATAATATTTTTCCAAAGGTCTTGTGGATCAATGACCAAGAATCTTGAACTCAAATTTTAATTGAAAAAAGTGTTGGCTTCAGAACATTTTGTGTTGTTTCATGTTCCTAAATGACTTCAGGATAAGTTGCTTAATGCTCCCAGGAGTAGTTTTAGCTCATTATAGTGCTGAGACGACACTGGTGGAAGTCACTAATGATATTTGCATGGCCTCAGATAATGGAATTGTATCTGTACTAGTCCTGGTAGATATCAGTGCTGCATTTGATAGTCGGTCATAGTTAGAAAATGAATTTAAGGCCCCTGCACAGTGTGTTCATGTTCATAATAAATGTTCCTAAAGCTCCAGGTTTAAATGTTGAGCACCACATGTACCAGTGCTAGGGACAATTATCTTACTATATACATGCTCCCAATTGGAAGAATAAGCAGAGTGGAATCATTTTCACAGTTATGATGATGATGACACTCAGCTATATTTGTCTATAAATCAGGGAATTTAGAATAAATCATGAAAATAACCAATTACATACACTACAGGCATGTCTTGTAGATATAAACACCTGGATGACTCAAATGTTAATGTCTTTGGATCAGGGTCTTTGAAAAAGAAGCTGATCATACAGCTATGACTCTTAAGTATCTCTAGATTAAATATGTTATGAAATGCCGATATATAAATAAACTGAATTGAACTGAATTGAATAGTTGCTTTTCTGAAGTAGCATGCCCAACAAAAATGAAGAAATTAAAAGTTAATTTAGGATTATTTTGGCAATCTTTGTCAAGATAAAAAATGTGACTTTATTTTTTCTTTTTACACAAAAGTGAATATAAGTAGTAGATATATTTGTATGAAGACAAACACTTTCTGCAGCTCTTCATAAAAACATGCTGAGTGTAGAAATGTGGTGCATTTTTTATGTGAAATTGTAAGCAAACATGCTTGGATTCCACTTTTTCCTTTCACCTAATAGAATCTCTGAAAAAAGTTAGTGTGTGTCTGAGAGTACTTACTCCAGAACAGACATGGAGCGAAAGCAGGACAGCGACTTGGCAAGGTTTTGCATGGTAGATTTACTCCACTTCTGATTCAACAATCTAAAATTCAAAACACTCAAAATTACATGCAAATAAAAAACAAATAAAGCTTTTGGAGCAGTAGTGCCATTGCATTTTACTTGTACCTGTTGTTGTTCTGTTTTTCCCTACCACATAAGTAGCTATGATTAAGAATCTAATTTATTAAGACACGTCTGTGCTTCAAGTTTTTCATCAACTAATGAAATAATGCCAACGATCTTACTGCACAAAAAGACAGTTAAAAATCAACATATATGCACTTGTCTTTTTTTAAATCTGCTCACATTTGTCCTGTTGAAATAGATCCAAGTAAACTATGAAGCTCTGTGGCAGTGGACACATTTATCAACCTCAGCATGTAAAGCAATGCAAGGTTTTTTAATCTATTGATCAAACAATCAAGAGGATCCAAATTTCTCAAGGTTTTAAATTAAATGATGCATAAAGTCTTCTTCATTGGAAGCAAACAGAAAGCATTCACCCAGCTGGTCTCACTTTGCAAATGCAAAAGCTGCAGTGCTCAAAACAAAGAGGATATGTTGTTTTAGACTGTTTATCCATCCAACAAAATTTAAATCTCCTCCTAATTCTATTAATCTATTTGGCAGATGTTTAATTTCTGTACACGTTATTGCTATCTGAACAACAACAACAAAAAAACATTTTAGGAGTTAAACCTATGGCAAAGCCAACAGGGTTTGTAAAGTCAAATCATACCTCACTGTTGGCTCTGACTTAATTTTATGGCTGCAAAAAAGGAATATAAAAAAAGTTTAGACATTTTTTAATACTATTATCATTATTATTTTCTAATCAAAAATCTCACCTGTTTGATTCCGATTTTTGTAAAAAAGTTACTGTTAACTCTTTTACCCCACTGCAAGGAAGGAGAGAAAAAAAACATTAACTAAAGACTAAATCTGTTCCCTTGACTAAATGTTTTTGCAGAGGCTTAAAAAAACCCAGTTGGAAATATTAAGTGACAGTCAATATCAAATTTCTGTAATTTTATAAATTAGAATGCAAATACACTGCGTGATCAGAAAATGAAACACAAAAGCAATGCCTCCCTAAGTTAACCAACACTGAGCGTCTGTGTGTTTTCTTACTCTGCATCAACCTGCTGGATGTTCAAACAAGTAGACACACGTTCAACAAGACACTCTGCTGCTTTCAAGGAAGTGTTATTTCGTCCCAGCCTGCACAAAAAATTAATAAATAAAAACAACTGTAGTCGACCACTTTAATGTTCAAATAAAGTTTAAGAGCAACGTACTTTACAGAGACCAGGTTTTGTAGTTTGGCAAGAACGTCAGCAATGTGTCTGATTCCTTCATTTTGCAGATTATTGTCACTAAAACTAAGGAAAAAATCAGAAAAAAAAAAACGTTTCATCATTTTTGCATCACTTTAGGATCTTCTCATCATCTGTCATCCATGTTTATCTTTGAAACAAGGAGCTTACTTGAGCTCAGTGATGCTGGGACAGCACTGCAAACCAGAGGCCAAACTCGCAGCCCCTGCAGCAGTCAGACTGGCACCACAGAACCTTTCAAAGAAACAGATTAAAAGTTATGAGGGGAAGATTTTGTTTACCTTGTTCAGTACAATTCGAAGTGAAAACTGGACCCTACTCTAGTTTTCTTAGCGCTGTGAATCGAGGTAGAATGGAGGACAGCTTCTCTGCAAACTTATCGCCATACTTGCGGCTGCGAAAACTGCAATTAAAAGCATAAATGTAAACATTTCACAAGCATCACATGAAAATACATAATAAACACTGTGATAGTGTACATGAGTAGATATAGACAAAAATCATTTAATGTGATTAATCTTTTTATTATTCTTGGAAATGTTATATTCAAACTATCACAATATGAAGAATAAATATACTCCTCTTCAAACCCCAAAGCTTTATAGATCCTTGATGCCTTAAACTTTTCTAAGTGCTGCTGTTAAGTGCTACTATTTTTAATTAAAATGTTTACTGTGACACTTAAAATAATAAAAAAATAAAAAAATCAGGATATTTAAAATTGACTCTTCACAGCATGTTCAAGCTGGTACTAAAGAAAGTACTAGGACGAACATGCTGCTCTTTATTCATAGGAAAAACTTGCTGTAAATAATTTCCAACCATAGGCCTGATGCTTTTAGCAATAATTGGGGCTAATTTTGAAGGTACAGTGAGAAATAGATATGAGTCTAGCATTCCTACTACATTCAAGTTTGGAGGAAACACTTATTTTTTTCTTTTGGTTTGTGGTTCAAACAAACCTGCAGGACTTTATGAACTGCCTGCTCTGCTGCAATATAATGGAGCCATTTTAAAGCTTTTATACCATATTACACCGACCTCACAGATTAGACTTGGTGAAATGTTGCAGGTTTTATTGTTTTACAGCAAATTTTTAAAAAAATCATTATGAGGATCAGAGCAAGCAGTAAGAACAATTATAGCTATATGTTTTCATCTGGATCAAGCCAGAATTACTGTATAGGGCCTGTTTTGCAAAGCAAATAGAATCTCATTTGACTAGTCTAATAGAAAGTAAGAAAAAGAGGAAAATCTTCTAAGGATCATAAAAGATGAAGGAGTAAACCTCAGTAAACCAACTCCTCTTTAGTCTGCAGTCTATAATAAAGTACAGATTATAAACGTAGAAGTGGGTTGGACTGTCTGGTAAAGTGCTGAACTTGCTTAGATATTGTCTGGCAGACAAAGAATACTTTGTTTTATCTTTGTGAATCATTAATAAAAGAAAAAATAAAGATGCATGCAGAACAGTTTTATTCTGCCTTTTTCTTTAATTCTTTCAATCCCTTGACCCAAATTAAACAAATCTTACAATATTCCTTTAAACACTCATTATGACATGGACTGTTTTTATTTTCAGTCAAAAATCATAACCTTCATAGGGCTCTACAATTAATTATTACTATTTTATGTTCTACTGAAAATTCTGATTACTGATTACTTTACATTTTTCCCTCAGTCCATTTGACTTATTTCTTAACTATGTTTTCTGACATTTTTTTGGGACCAACCTGTTTTTTCTTTCTTTCCTTTATTGACTTACTCCTTTCAAATTTAAAATGTTGATGGTCTAAGGCACCAAATGTTTTCAGGTTCCTGATGAATTTCCATATTTGCTGATGAGTATGAACCAAATAGAGGCATTAATATTTTGAATGAAGGACACATTTTTTTTTTTTGCCAAGCAAGTCTGACCATCTTTTATGTGGTTAAAAATAAGAGGTAATATATGTGCTAAATAGAGATGGATCGATCCCATACCTGGATCAGATATTGTGGTTTTAAAGTGGATTTTGATCGAATCCAGTGCTCTGTGCATGGAACTGTTATTGTATTCCTTTCTTTTTGTACATTTATATCTGTGTTAATATGTTACCTTTTTTTAAACAATGTCTATGTCACGGCTAAAACCTTCACTCTCACATGGCAAGATATATGGTTTGTTCATTCAACAGCTTAATCAGGAGTGAAATTGGATTGGATCTAAAACAACTGGATCAGTGCTAAGATAATATATAATTTACAACACAATAACTGATTTATGATGTTATCATCTAACAATTAATGGTCCTTTGTTTTGTAGAAGATTTAGAATCAGAATTCTGATTTTGATTTCTGATGTATTTGTGCACCCACCTGAGGAAATGAAGGTACTGACACTGGGATAGAGCATCTAAACACTCCAGCTCCATCGAGCAGGCGCCAAAGTCCAAACCAACACCGGTGTTGTTAACTGAATTGACCACAAACGCCAGCGCATCAATATCACTGGGTAAGAGCCAGAAGTTCCGCAGTTCCAGGGTGGGTCGCACACTCACAACCTGCTGCGCCAGTTGTTGGTTCTGGCTCTCCTGAACACAGTGGCAGAGCTGCAAAATCTGCCATAACACAAGAATAGATGTTCAGGATAAAGAAAGAAAATGAGAATGTAATAAATTGTGTTTAAATTTTTCCAAATAACCTTTGGTCCAGTCAGAGCGGCGCTGTGACACAAAGCTTTCAGTAGTTTCAGAACGAGGGCTTGGCGTTTTTGGACCCAATTCTGGGCTCCTTTTATGCCAGCTGCCTTGGCAACAAGAACAAGAGCTGGAGTGCAGTCTGACGAGGCCAGACCACAGACGTACAGGTAGAGGGAATCAGTAAATACTGTCTTCTGGTCAGACTTAGTCGTCCAACGAGTTTTCAGGCTGAATCTGAAGGAGAAAACAGAGAAGGTAGAGAACACTTTTTTAAATTTTTCATTGTATTTGAGGTTCACATCAAAATGTTATTATACAAAGAAATATGTTCAAGCTTCTGCAGTCTAAAGAATGATAAACTGTTCTCAGGCTCAGCTAGTGGTGCAGTGGTAGACCCATGTTCAGAGGTTTCCATGCTGACCTTTGCTGCATGTAATTCCCACTTCTCTATACCAATATTCTGTCAAACAACTTTCAAAATAAAGCCCATAAGAATGGTAAAAATAAAATGATCATAATAAGTGCTTAACAAGTAAAATTGGATTGAATTGTATTGGCAAATAGAAAAACTGCCCTTAGTTAAGCCTTATAGATTAAAGGTATAGTGCAGGATGTTCTTTTTCTGGGTGGATCATCAAAAAAAGTGGTCCTCCTAATTGTCAGTCATTCTGGTAATATAATAATGTTTATGTAAGGCAGTCCTACGTGCTTGTCCCCATTTTCCCCGTTTAATAGGCGTTCCCTCTCGGAAGCGGGTACAGGGTTGTACATGAGCATTATTATTTTAAAGTGGTGAGGGCAGATATTTTAGGTATAGTGAGGATTCCCAAATATCCTCCAATATACCTTTAACATCTAGGCAAAGAAACCCATTTAAAGGGAGATTGTTTGTAACCTTATAAAAAACTGAATATTTTACAAGTTTTTATAGTCTTTATTCAGTTCAATGCAACCTATAATTTATTAATGAAGAGACCCGTAGTGTTCCTTGGCATTTGATTGGGCATGCCATTAGCTGCAGAAGTGTGGAAAATGCCTTAAAGGCACAAGCAGAAAACAAAGCGGATAGACAGAAACGAAACAGAAAATCACTGAACATCAAACGGAAAAATCCAAGAACTTCAACGAATTGGTTTCCTGATACTTTTACCCGACTTTGAAAAGAGCAGGTTTTCTCACAGTATTTAATAGGAGGAATTTTCCACTTAAATGTTTACACTTGAAAATAGAGTATCTTTCTCATTTCTTTCTTCTACTGGCACTCCCCAAGACTGTTTCCTCTCATCTATTTGTTTTAAGCACTAATGGTTGGCAGCGTCATCATAATGGAAGCCACATTATTTGGTATATTGGTATATTGTTTGGTAAGGAAAGCGCAGCAGCATATGCAAATTTTTTCATAAAATGTGCACTTTTTGTCTTATCTGTTTACATGAAGTTGTGTTATTCCTGTTTTATTGAATCTGTTAGCTTTGCTTTTATCTATTATAATGGACCATCGAAAATAGGAGCCGCCTGGAAATTATACTCAAGATTTGCTTTGAAATTACTGGCATATCTCTTAATGACCCAAGTGACCTTTACAACTTCCTTAAAGAAGACTAGGATAATTTTCACCAATCCTAGCCATACTCTGTGGGAAGAATTTTCTCTTTTAACAGGACAGACAAGATGAACAGAGAGAAACGATCCCTACTATTAGTAGCCTGTTCAATTCCACATCCACAGACCTGTCCCTTAGTTTCTATTCTTAGGTATTTTTTGGTTTTTTGTGTGTGTGTGTGTGTGTGGTTGTTCTCATATCTGTCTGCACAACAAATTGCCCTTCCTGGAAAGCAAATTTTACTTGACTTCATGGCAGAAGTGTTAAGATAATGGGTATACCTAATAAAGGGCGCATGTAGTTTTTACATCTGTAGAGCTGTTGAAAAAAAAATTCTGGAAAAAAAAAAGATTTGATTTTAAGCAGAACTGTTTAGCTAGCAGCTTTGCTGCATTGGGGGTGTTGGACCTAAATGAGGTACGAATGATGTGCTTTAAAGAAAATGCATATTTTTATGTATAAATCATCAGTCAAAAACCATCCGATTCATAAAGACCAATACTGATTCCAATAAAAATTTAGTCAAAAATTAAAATCACTATGTCGTCCATTAATTACAGCAAAATAACGGCAAAGCTAAGCCATGCTACAAAACGTCATTAATATGAAGATAATGAAACAAATTTTAAAAAGTATCAATAAAAATGCTTCTCAGTTTTTGTGGAACAAATATCAGAGCATGTCCAACATAAAACACTGGAATCAGCTTGCAAAATGTCACCCCCTTCTTTTCATGCAGCAGTGATTTCTCATTAAATTTTAGGGATGCTAAGGTTACCTTGTAAATTTCATAAAATTATTGGTAAAATATGCACTGTCGAACTTCAGAAATTTAATCATGAAATATGAGCTAAAATGTGCCTGATTTGAGTATGTTGCACATTAATCAGCTGTTTATTCCGCTTTGAGATGCCATCTCCCCTCTGCTCTGGAGCAGCAGGAAGCTACCGGTCAGTCTCTATGAGATATCCCTTGTTACGTAGGTTTGAGCCACTGTAGGGAAAATTGATCATTCAGTCAGAACAGTGATCTTATGCTGAACTCTTGCCGTGGTTTCTGGAGTTTATCATTTCATAGTGCATCAGAACAGCTATTTTCACCCATAGTAGTGATGCGTTTGATGTGTAGCAACAATTATTAATGCAATGCAGGATATTTGGATTTAATTAACACCATTAAGCCTCTCCTGTTTCATAGAGCAGCAGCTGCAACTATCTTCATGGTCACGTTTTGTTTTGTGCATGTGCTTCCTTACCTCTTCTTCAGGTCTGCATCACTAACATCACTGCTGGTCATGATCCTGAGCGCAGCCAGAAACTCCTGCACCGTGAGATGAACGAAGCAGTAAGCGCTAGCGAGAAATCCACCTTGGGATCTGAACTCCACCTGCCAGGAAGACGCCACCATTTAATTTATAGTCACATACCTGATGGATTTACTATTATTTAAAATAAGGGATTAAAATAAAGCATTTATACTGTTTAAACTGCTAATTAACAAGCGAATTAGATGTTTCCCCTAACTGTACATGTTTAAAATTATTTCATTTATTGGTCATTCATTTGCACTAACAAGGTTTCTACTTCATCTTACTAGTTTTGACCACTAACCAGAATAAGCAGAATCAAAGGCCAAATGAAAAGGGAAAGTTAAATGATGAAACTAACAAGAAACAAGTCTTTAAAACATGAAATAGAATAGGACAGCTTTATTGGTCTCTGTAATAAACTAGACTTATTGACACTTTAGTGAATTGGTAGTTTGAGAAGTCATTTCTCTTGTGCTCCTAGGTCAGCAGGGCCCCAGGCAGTTTTAAATTAAGCTAATATTTTGGTTGAGGATGAGGTTTTTATGCTTTACTCTCTCGGAAAATCAGAATATCTTATTATCTAAAAATAATAATAACTTTGATTTGACACAACTGATATTTTCAGAGTGACTAGATACATTAGTGACATTTACTTAAGAGACTTCTTAAAGAAAATATTTGTACTTCTATGAGCATTTTACTGCATCATAATAGTACTTCTACTTGTTAGACCATTAGGCTAATTTAACAAGCTGCATTTGCTGTACTGAATTACAAACTTAGACTAGGACAGCTTTACTGTTTCGTTTTGTACAGCTTTCAGACAGTAAAAGAGCAGAAGCTTAGCAGTGGAATGAACATTTCCATTTCAAAAGGTGCAACAGTGAATGAATGTAAACAGTGTGGGAGAAAAACATGGTGCAAAAGGCATTGATGTGGAAGCTCAGAACAGTGTAAAACCAAATATATATGTGGTGCAAACATGCAGTAGAAAAACAATTTTGAGTTGAGTTTTATTTGGTTTGATGTTATCAGTGTTATGCAGAGAAAACAAACAGCTTTTAACAAAAAATGAATCAGACTTATTTGCAAACAAAGGTTCAAGAGTCTAACGGGAGATTTCATATGGTCATCTAAGCTAATTGAGGTCCAAGACAAAGCTGCTGAGTGCACAAACAAATCAGTGAACACAATCTACGTTGCGGCTAACGTCAAGATCAGATATAGCCTTCCAATAATGGCCAGATATATCACCCTACCTCCAGATCAAAAGTCATCACTGTGATTTTTTGAAAAATTGCTGTTATTAAATAATCCAGGGCTTACTGAACTTTACAGCAGAACCAAACAAACATTTCTGTATTAAATAATAGTTTTTATCAATCTAATGTAAGATTACTGAATTGGATTTTTACTCCAAATTTGCTAAGAATTAATAAAAAATAAAAATGCATCTGTACCATGGCCCTCATGTTTTTGCCAAATGCACAAACATATTGACAACATTCAGTAAATGTTTAGCCACTCTGACCTGTGAGAAGAGTCCGGTCTTGATGGATAAATCCAAAATATGACGTGGAACGTCTTCTTCCAAAAAGATAATCCTGCTCTCCTCCACGCCTCGCCATGCCAGCTGGCTTAGCTCACACAGTTCAGCTGAATACAGACTCCATACAAACCATACCAACAATGTTACACACCTGTTTTGTTTTGGTGATTGTGTAGCTGTTTTCCAATTCTTACCTATGAGGAATTCCTGGGGTCTCTGCACCGTCTCTTTGTGCTCTTTGCTGAGGGTACCGACTGAGAAACGCACCAACAGCAGCGAGGTAGATCTGAGTCTGGGTTGCAGGGATTTGCGCTAAAGTGCAAGATAACCCTGGGCTTATTTTTTTATCATGCATAAATGTCGGTTCACCCTTAAGAGTTTGTCTGCTTTGTTGTGCTCTTTGTAAGTTGCCCTCTCCACCAGCCATTGGTTCCCTTTTTTCTTGATCCTGATTCTTGGCTTCTGCTCCTTTTTCTTTCAGTATCTGCCTCCCTTCTTCATCTCGGCATTGGCGCAGTAGGTTTTGCAGAAAGACGCAACAGATGTAGCAGAGGGCAGCGAGGGAGGACATGGCAAGGAGGTGTCGATTAGAGAAAAGTATGCCTGCTGCATCAGGTCCAAGATTTCCTTCTAATTAAAGAGTTGAGACAAAAAGCAGGTTAAGTAGAGGAGGGGGTCTTCCATACTAAAACCTATTTGGGCCAATTCAACAGTGAACCTTCTTAGAATATAAAACTGATTTAAACCATTGTGTGTAAAAGGTGTTTCTGGTTGAATGTTCGAAAAGATTACAGAGGCACCATTCTATCAACAAGGGATCTGAATTTTCTGAATTTTCTGTTTTTTCTCTTGATTTACTTTGATTTATCCCTTAAATGCAATAAAACAAAAAACTCATCAGCATAAAGGGTTTAGTTAAAATCAGGTTAAAGCTACCAGCATATGCTTGATTCAATTGAATCGTGTCAGTTTTTAGCTGTTGCTCGGCAACTCAAATCTTCAGCTTCCTTACCAGAATGTTTATGACTTTGGTCTAAAACCAAACTCAGCCACTCTATGATCTTCCATTTCCAAATCCACTGTTGTAATTTGACTTATTGTTTTAGTGGAAAACTCAATCATGGGCAATCATCAGTGTTCTGATCCAAGGGTTTACAGTAAATTACCTCTAGTGAACCTATATTGTATCTGCAACAACAAAAAAAGTCTCAAAGTTTACATTTTCAACTTGTGTGTGTAAATGTGTTATTTGGGTCATACCAAAAAGTTTCTGATAACCACAAAATGGGCTTAAACTGGAGGCAACCAGGTATTTAAACACCTATCCAGGAGTCTTTGTTGATTCTGTCGGCTCGCATTAGAGCAATCTGTAGTTTCCTATAAATAAGAGCTGAGATGCTCGATTTTGATCTCACAACATTTCCTCCTAAGCTTTCTGTGAACCATCTAGATGTCCAATGGGAGGCCTGTGTGTTACCGATAGAGTTCCTGGTGACTGTAGTCCTGGGTTCAAACCGTTAATAATCTCCCGTGTACTGTAGCTTTGGGCTGGTCAATTAGCTTTCTCATCCTTCTTAGCCTATAAACCGAAGCCTGGGATGAAGCTTCAGGTTGAGGGCAACTGAAGCTTATTTTATTTTCTCTTGTTTCCTAGGAGCATTCACCTTCTCACCAAGCTATCAGCTGATGTCCCTGAATTTGTTCAAGCCTCGAATGAATGAACTGTCTTGAAAGCCCATTCTTTCTGCGGATAGAAGTGTTCAATATGGTTATCTGTACAAGATAAACTAATTGATCTGCTCTAATACTTATTTCCCCCCATTGACTTGATAGCTAATTGTCAATTTTGATTAAATGCTTTTTTATTTCATAATTTGTCTGCATTTCTTTTAAACTACCATAAAATTCAGAGCCTTACTGAGAGAAAAACTTGAAAATGTGCTGTAGTCTAAATACTTAAGTGGCCAACTGATGGTTAAAGAAAAGGCAACTGCCTCCCTCCAAAAAACAAAACATTCAGAGCGCTAATCTCTAAACTTTCTATTCTTTTTTTTATCACTACATTGCTGTAGTGTTTCCTTGCAACTGAATTTTATTTTGTAGAAGAGCATACAATGCCACCACATTTGTATTAGAATGAAAGAAATGAATATTTACCCTTAAGATCAAAGAAGCTTTTGATATACTCCTTGATCTCCTGGTGGTCCCACGGCAGCAGCTGCCCCACTTTGTCCGGCAGACCGTCCAAATCGATCACATCTCGTAGACGACATGTGACCAGCACGCTGCTTCCTGCCAGAAGTCGACGGTTCAACAAGCCCGAGATTAGCTCTGCGACATGCAGAGGTTTTTCTGAGTCCAGAGGCTCATTTTGAACTTTCTGTTTCTTCAGTTTTTTATGAAACTCATCGTAGCCATCCAGAACCCAGCAGCTCTGCTCTGGGTTGGAAATGAGGTAGTCCACAATGGCTTGCTGCTCCAAACAAAGATATGGCAAATAAAATATTATTTTTAAATAATGTTTTCCGTCAATATTTGTTGAAAACTTAGTTTCTATTACTAACTCTAAAGCAGCTATTCTTTTTTCTCCTTTGCCTTAAAAACATAACTTTTTATCCTAAATACGCTGAAATACATTGAAAAACATCTGCTGTGGAACCTGCTATTTATGAATCTGCTCTAAAAATAGAAGCATTTTATGTTAAATGCTTGTAAATTAAAGCACCTTTGCATCATTATCCCCGTTCATTGGGAGGTAGTGGTGAAACAGCAGCTCAGACAGAGAGAGAGGGGAGGACAGAAGGTTGAGCTGACGAAACTCCAGCAGGACAAAGAGGTGGGATGAAGGAATCGGGCCCTGGATGACAGGAAAAGAGTGGAAATGTGACAAGATGAGGGGACAGTTTGCAGGAGAAACAAACATAAAAACAGCCGTGATTATGAAAGAACACTGCAAACTCTGGCATAATGAATGATTTAACAATAAAAGCTCAATTTGTGTGAACACTAATAGGAATTTAAAAACTAATTAACACTATTTAACATTAAGAATAGCAAAAAAAACTGCTTTTATTGTATGTATTGGTTAAAGTAGTCAAAGCTGAAAAAATATAAATATAAAAGCTGTTTTTGCATCAGAATCCAGGAAACTCTGATCAATGTATTTGGCCCTAAAGACCTTAAGAAAAAAAAACATTTTACTCTGGATGTCATTACTATAGCGTTCAATGCTAAAGCAATAAGTATTTGATTCTTCTTGAATCTGGATCTATCTTTTAACTTTCAACGCTAATAAAAATATCCCTTTTCTACACATTACTGTTTATATAAATCCAGTTGTGTCTTATCTAAAGATGTTGCCATTTGTTTGCTATCTTGCTGCTCTCTGTCTAATGTAAAGAAAATAGTTTAGGTGCTAAAATATGAAACCCCAAAGCGTAGCATTAGTCTAATTAATATTATTAATAGTGGGTCATTTGAGTATTTTAGACTCATATCAACCCTTTAGTGATGTTGCAGATTATAAAAAGTGTTTAATGGCTTTAAAATTGTGGCAGAATCTTTTGACGTATAAAAACTGCATCACAGCAGTTATCAGATTAACTTTATTATGGTGCCAAATGCATAATAAAACAAGGCCCCATTATTATTCACCTACATAATAGTGATTTAAGACTCCAATAAAAGAAAATGCACATCATTTGAGTTTTTTTTTAATGAGCACATCATTGACTCAGCCAGTACTTGCAAACTGGTTATTTTAGCATGCTTTTTTTCCCCTTACTTATACAGTGTCTTACCTATTTTGGTTCCTTCACTGCTAAGATGTAGATTAATCATCAGAGTGTCTTTTAGTACACTGAACTGTAGAAGATTTTTTATACAGCTTTTGTAGTTGGGGGCTGTTTTTAAATTTTACAAACCTCAACCATCCTATTAAAAACATCTAAAACGGAAATCTTCAATGTTTGTCCTGCAACCTTTAGATGTGTCCTTTGCTCTACACACCTGAATCAAATGACTAAGGAGTCTCACTACCAGCAGTCAAGCTTTGCAGAGCGCTGGTAATTAACTATTGTCTTACAGTTGATAACTATTAATATCTATCAATGACCACAGTGTAAAACTATTAAGAATGAGAGATACAACAAAGTTACAACTACCTAAAATACCGTTGGAGGCAGCAATTAGTTTCACTTTTGTTTATGCTAAAACAGAAGACGGAAGTATGTAAACAAATGAACTGTAGATTCGCGCTCATATGCAAATCAGTGTGACATCACTGAGAATAACATGACTTTTCTCAGGTACTTTCCACAGGTGAAAGTTTTGCAACTTTTTACAATGTATTTCGTTCTCTATTTCATTCCGCCTTCTGGCATTGGAATGATGGCTGGTTTCACAACCGCTCAACCTTTGACAAACTATGAACACAATGAACAAGTTTGTACTTTGAATTGTACAGATCATTTTTATTTGTCGTTCTTTATGTCTTCTAATGGGCACTGCTATTCTAGCAGCTCAACAAAAACATAATTTTAAACTAAAATCTGTCTTTTGATATGGATAGAAAGAGGAAAGCAACTTACTAATCCTTCAGCCCATTGCTGCCCAAGAGAGGACATCAGCACAGTCTTTCCTGATCCAGGTTGACCACAAAGAACTGTCACTTTTCCTGCACATCCTTGCAGAAAGCTCTCAAGAGTAAGTCTGGACTCTGGACATCCGTAATCACAGTCAGGCTCTAATTTTGGTTAAAAAAAAAGGTTTGCAGAGTTAGTTTCTTTTTCTTTCCGTGTTTTTAACACTTTTCTATCTTTATTACATAGTGAGTGATGTACACTTTTCAATTATTTTTCAGTGATGCACTTAAAATAAATTTAGGCTACCGCTGCTGAATAAGAAAGGAAACAGGAAGCCACTCCTAACCTGGTGTTCTGCTGCCTCTTTCTGCAGAGCTGGGGGTCTGATCGGGTCTGTCCCTGGCTCTGTTTGCAGTTTTTATGCTGACCCAAACTTTGTCCGGCTGTGTATCCTTCACCAGACCCTCGGACATTCGCTTCCACCTCCTTTGCAGGAAACTTGCCACTTCAGTCTTGTACTGCTCCCAGTAATCTGCAGGCATTGGATAACCTTGTGGTGATCAAGACAGTTTTGATTCTCAAAAATTTTTATTTTTTTAAGATCTAGGGTGAAACCAGTAATGCTCAGTAAAAATAACAGTGCAAAAAATCTTTAGTTGACTCCTATATGATAAGAATCTATGCAAAACCTTTTGTTTCTCAGAGCAGTTTTCATTAGGTTGTAAGCAGTAGAGTAATCCAGGGTATACAGACACACTAACTGTTACAAATCAGCTGTTCAAAGAGACAGTTTATAAAAGGAACTACTGACTTGCTAAATTACAGAATAGGAGTCATCCATGTGGATGGAATAGTTCCTTCAAAATCCATATTTGTTTCTCCCTAGTCTGTGGGCAACCATTTAGTTATTTCATAATCCTTCATTGCTCAGATCAAATAGCAGAAATAATATATTATATATTATAAAATATTTTGGTAAACTACATAAAGAGGTCTTAGATGTCATTGTTTCTGGGCTGCATTAAAAAAAAAAAAGGGCGAGTATACCCACTAGTCCAGGGATCACTACACTACGGCTATAAGCACTAACTTTCAAAGATAACTTTCTTAAACTATTGGCCTTGTATTAATGCAGAAAAGTTGTTTTTTTTTTTTCTTTTTTCCGAAGGCTCATTCCAAAAGCTAGTCTAAGGCCTAGTCTACATGAAGACAGAGACAGTGTATTTTTATAAACACCTCACAAAAAAGTGTGGGTTTTTTGGTTCTGTTTAAGTTTCTTTTTTTAGCTTTTAGTTACACTTTGATTTATGTTATTCTGTGCTTTCTTGGTAATTGGTCTCTTTTCCATTTTGTGTCATTGGAGTAGTTTTCTAGTTATATTTAAGGAGTGTTGTTGTTTTTTTAGTTACTCTCTGTTGCCCCGTTGTGCCAGTCACCTTTCCCCTAGCTTCCTTCTAGCTGCTTCTGTCCACACCTGCTCCCAATTAACTGATTACTCCACTCTTTGTTCTGTCTCCCATACTGTATATACTCCTCTGCAGTTCCTCAGTGCTGAATTCTTATATGTTTCTCCTGAGCTTCTCTAGTTTAACATTTCTGCGTTCCAAGCCTGTTATTTCTGGATGTATGTTGTTATACCATCCACCTATTCATTTAAAACTCCGCCTCCTCTACACTCCATTTGGGTCCACAACAACATTCACCAATCCTGACAGTTGCATCCCCAAAAGTGTAAACAGCACCAATAAAAATGCTGCAGTACATATGCCAGGCCCTTTGGTGGTGCTGGGCATGCACAAACAGCTTGTCACTCCCGATCTGTACTGGTAGCACGATTAATTTCATTTGACTCATTTGGGTGTGTGGAATATAGATATTCATCCAGGTCGCTATAAATAATGTAATTACGTGCTAAATGGTAATTAATTCTGCACAATATGGAAACAAAAAGTGGATTTAAGACAGCATTGTCCAGAGACAGTTGTGCAACAACTCCATGTTTCACTACTACCATCTTTTGTTGCTTTTTTAATCACTCATTGTTGAAGTATTTAGTAATAATCGGAATCTATGGTTTGTCACTAAATGTGAATGTAGGATATATTTTAAAATTATGCATGAATGTTTTACCAATCCGTGGGCGTTTGATGAGTTGCTCCTCTGCAGGTGGCATTAAAGGCTGCCAATCTGTCACGCTGGAAGTACCATCTATCAGGTAAAAGAAAACATAAGACAGCAGACTGCATGAAAATGCTTCAATACAAAATGTCAAAGCTGGTATAACAACAACAAGAGTTCTGCAAGCATAAGGATAATTTGCTATTATATAACTTAGCATTCACTAAAGAATTCCAAATAATCTTAAAATGTATGAAAGAACAGGTAGGGAAATTCTAGACAAAAAAACAATATTAACTCTTAAACATCCTGAATATGTGCAGCTCTGTCCAAAAAAACACTCTGCTTTCATTTTCATTTTTTCTTAGCTTACTTTGTTTGGGTACAATATTATAAACTTTATCAAATAAACAAAGCTTCCTTAATAGCACTGCTTCCTAGGCAATTATTTACAAAGAAAGGTTGATTGTTGACTAATTTGTAGCTCAGAACTTAATTTAAAAGGTGCTGTGGTTTATTATGTTTTTCTATGCTGATCAAAAAAAAAGCAGCCCAATTTTACTTTCATTTCAGTTGCTTTAGGAACTTTTAAACATTTAACTTTCTTTGCTTATGATTTTATTTCATTTGTTGTGTGTTTTTTTTAATGTTTCTATCTTTTTTTGTACCTGTGGCCTTTACAAAAAAGCAAGCTGTCAAGAAACGGGTTTGAGAGAGGAGGGAAAAAGTCAGCTGCTTCTGGTCAAGAAAAGCAGTTTTTAACCAGAAAACGCTTAATCCCAGTTAAAATAACTGATTTAAAAAAAAAAAAAATGAATTACCTGTATTTGCCAAAGATACTGTTTCTGTGGGTTGATTCTTTAAAGCATCAGCTGAACAAATACAAAGGGCAGAATGAATAAATATATTAGTGAATAAACATTATTTTAAAATATTGATAAAAATCATTCAAGCGGTTCTAAAGAACTTTTAGTTTTGGTCGATTTTACCTGGAAACAGATAAATATAATGTTTCACAATAAGTACAAATACTGTATAGATCCCAGCAGGAAGGTGCTACATTGCCTGAATATCAGCCTTGCACAATTTACCATTTGTTGTTGTTAGCATCACAGGAACCAAATGATGGGACCGTGTAAGGGCATCTGCACATTGTGTAGGCGTTACCTTCCATTCTGAATGGCTGCAAGAGATAACGTCTGAAAGGGGTCAGATCAGCAGCCACATGGTGTAACTTTTATCGAGCTAAGGCTACAGAACTGCCTGAATCAAAACCAGAGCTGACATTATTTCAGACGTAATGGCTCTTTCTCTGCAAAACCTTTGTTTGGGCCCGCGCCCCAAAAAAAGGCACTATTTACTCATCTGCTAATGGGCACAGCTAACATGAAACAGCACAGGTGTGGCTCCTGGTTAACTTCGTCCCCCAGAGCTCACCATCTCTGCTCTTGCTGGAAGTTCCTTTGAAGCCCTTAATATCAGAGTCACGGGACTCATGGTACCTGTGGCTCCTTATGTGATGATCATTTTGGCATTTTGAGGATAGACGTGGATGAGATGATACTAGCTACTGAATCCAAAGAGCGGCATCAGATGCCACGTGGTTATGTAACGTTAAGTGCAGGACAGATATGACTATGCTGCAACCAAACCAAGTTCAATTCGGGTTCTGTTTGATGCATCTATGAGGGCTGTGACAAGTGGCCTTCACTCACTGATGGGAAATGTTTGGTAACTTCCTGATAAGAAGCTGCTAGCAAATTAAAACCATAAAATGTTAAAAGAAGGAACATAAAGGATGATAATAAAAAACTGCCAAAATGACTCATCGGTAGTTAAATCCTAAAAGAACGCGAGACTTGCTCTCCTAAATGACATTAAGAGACACCCCCATACAGGGGAGCATGGTGAGGTTTTTTTATAATTTAAAAACTAGCATAGATGTGTTAAAGATCATCAGAATAAGAGGTCGGGAGACAATTTGAATTTTACAGAGCCCGATTTTTATGCCACACCCAGGTCAGCAATGAGCCAAAGGCAGCACTGCAGCATTTCTTTCAGCAAGTGGAGTTTAATGAGCAGATTCTTTTATGTAATTTGTTTTTGTTTCTTTTCTTAAAGTTAAGATTTAGGCAGAGAGCCGCGCTGAATAGGATGTTGTTCAGTCATCCAACAGATATTCAACCTAAAAACTCTCTCAGAGTAAGGTCATTAAAGGAAATCTATTAGGTAGGTTACTGATAAAGACATTTTATCCAAAAGTGATCATAGTAAAACACTTTTTCACACTTACTGCTGGCATATCCAGCCACAGACATGAGCTTCGACTCCAGATGCATGGGGATGTCTTCACATAAAAGACAAACCCTCTGAAGGAAGTTGCAGCATTCTGCAGGGTTAGCATGTGTGAAGTACTCCAGCATGGCTTTAATGTGGTCTGGTGCTGTAGCAGAGCCAATGGTTGGTTCCTTGTTAAGTATAACGGCATCACTTGGCATCGTTTGGCAGAGATGCATTATGACGGAGTCCGACTGACAGCGAAGGATGCTGAGCAGTTCTGAGTATTCCTGAGCCAAGATGGAGTTCACATTTTCATCGGCAGGGTCCAGCTCCTCATCCATGATCAGACTCCATCAGCTGATGAACGCAAAAAAAAAATCACAAAAAACTATCAATATTAATCTATATTGATTATAAGAATAATATGAGATTCACATTTTCCACTTGCCGTAATCAGGGATGTAACCATCAGAAAATAACAATCGAATGATTTTCAGTCAGTGAACGCAGCAAACATAAATGCTACATGTTTTGACAAACAATCACAATCTTTAATGTCAAAGTAATTAGTGTGAAGACATAACTCTGGTTCTTAAACTGAGGCAGTGATGGTGGCATAGTGGTGAGGATAGCTGCCTTCCTACCAGTTGACCTGGGTTCGTTTCCCAGCCATTGCAAAGTCTCATAGGGGTGTGGCAACCTAGTGGTTAGAGCATTGCGCTTAGGTCTCGGAGGTTCTGAGTTCAAAACCCACGGACTGCTACTCTGGGTCCCTGAGTAACACCACACTGCTCCCCGGGCACCGAACAATGGCAGCCAACATCTCCCTAAGGGGATGGGTTAAATGCAGAGAGGTCATTTTGTTGCTCTGTACTTGTGACATTGCAATCACAATAAAATTGTATTCTATTCTAAAAGTAATTCTGCAGTGCAGCTCCCTCTCACACAGTGTGACGTCACCTCTGCTCCTCATCAACAGCGTGATCATGTTAAATGGATAAAAACAAGTCATGAAAATACATCAGCATCAAGATATCATGGTTTTATGACAGAATTAAACCAAAGTTTACAACAGCTTCTCACTGCATTATTCCATCAGTAAAAATCTACCTCTGCGTATATGATGTGGTGATTATTACAGATAAAAAACATGTACTTACTTTAACAACGTTGATATTTAAGATTTTTTGGGCAAAACGTAAATATTGGGAAGAATTTTATACATTTTTACTCTTCTGACTAACACAGGGCCTATAATAAGATGTTAACTGCTTAGTTAGTTGGTAGTTTGGGTGCTTTTAGCCGGTTAGCTTAGTTAAGCGATAGACCCAGAGATTTCTCCAAAGCAATTTTGTTTAGAATACACCAAATATAGAGATGGGGCTTTATCAGGACTGTGGACGTTATGCATACAAAATTGTAAAAGAATGGTGGAAATTGCATGATCAAATAGATCTAATTAATACATTCTAAAGGAATATTTTTAAATCATTGTCAGAATTGGTAAAGTTTCCAATGTAGTATTTCAGAAATTGTCAATAACTGTTTTTATATTTTGCTGTTTTACACTGTCTCTTCTCTCACGCGCCACATGCTGCTCAGCTGATCGCAATGCTCAGTCCCTTCCCCAAAATGAAGCATGATTTCAAATGATTGCACGTCTCCTTATTGAGAAGAAACCAAAATGTGTGATGCATATTTTAGTTTAAGTATACCTTTATTTATTCCTATATAGGACGATCATTTGTCTTTATGCTCCTCAAATGATTCATTTTAGTAAGTCAAAACAGAGATCTCTGCTCCTATCCTTCTAAACCGGAAATATTTACAAAACAATTCATGTGGCTTTCTGACATACGGAAAAAATGCTGCTGATTAGCAGAGCACAGCAACTGACATCAGAGGAGAGGAAATAAACTGCATTTTCCTTCACCAGGGAAACCTCGGGTAACTTCCTCTCTTCACCAGGAGTTTCACTAAAAGCACCTTAACCTCTTACACCCTCAGGGGGAATAAATAAATTTCTGCCTGACAAAAACACACAAAAGTAAATCACTCATAGCCTCACAGCTATTACATTTAAGAATAAACTTTTGGTACCTCTGTAAAGGTAAGATGTCATAGAATGGTTTTCTGGTGTCAGCACCATTGTAGCTTTGACCCTGCCTGAAATATTAGGGACAAAATACAAAATATTTTGCATTTTTTGAACCTCGCCAAAATTTTCTTTGAAATAAACATTGCAAAACACTACCAAAATATTATTTATAGCACAAAAAAGTAGTACAGACTTTTAAATCTAAATGTTGTGTAAAAATATACCAAATTTGGACTCAATCAGATGAATCATATTTATTTTAGAATGGTATTAGTGAGAAATTTCTTAGGCGGAGGGGCCATTTTGGGACATTTATCCAAAAAATGTCACCAAACTGTGCCAAATGTGTTTTTTACATCAATACTGGGGGTTTGTTAAAATTACGAGGTCACGTAGCAGCTGGACCCACCGGTGGGTCCGTAGGGTTCTAGGGGTTAAATCCTTCATGATTGATTTCTGCTAAAATCAGCAGAGCTATCCAAGCTTATATGCTCTAATTTGCGCATTTGTGCATGCAGACTGGAAAAACTGGTGAGAGGAGCCGGCTCTGGGCTCTCTGAGGACGGTGGCAGAGACAAGGATACTTAACAAACTGCTGGACATTATGGACAATGCCAGCCACCCTCTGCACACTGTCTTCACCACTCGGAGGAGCCTGATCAGTGGGAGATTGCTCCTCCTCAAATGTAGCACCAAGATACTGCTGAACTCCTTTGTTCCTCGAGCCATCAAGCTGTACAGCTCCTCACTTGGGGGAAGGAGGAGGTGATAGGAAGAGGAACAAGGGTCAGCACCTCCTTCCTTGGACACCTTGTGCAAAACATTACTTCTCTCGCAATATTCTTCTCTCTCACTGTGAAATAATACATGATAACTACTGTGTAGCCTCTGTCATTTTTTTTCTTATTTATAAGGTCAGTACATCTCTGCAGTGCAAGTGCAATAATCCAAGTCAACTGAGTAGTTTTCCCTTAGCTCTCTGCTGTGCAGATATTTTTATATCTAAAGGAAACATGTTCCAGGACATTGCAACTTTTCTGATGCTTTTTTGTACCATATACACTGCTTTTTATTTTTATCTTTAATGGCATCTTGCTTTAACTCTGTGTACTCTATATAAACTACTGGAGCCAGAATCTCCCTGAAGGAGTAATCCCAGGGGATTAATAAAGTTGAGCCTAAATTGATCCATCCATTATCTGACACGCTTGTCCCAGTGGGGTCGTGAGGGGTGCTGGTCCCTATCTCCAGCTGTCTACGAGCCAGAGGCGGGGTACACCCTGGACAGGTCGCCAGTCCATCGCAGGGCAACATAGAGACAAAAAACCATTCACACACACACTCACACCTAAGGAGAATTTAGAGAAGCCAATTCACCTAACACTCATCTTTTTGGACTGTAGGAAGGAGCCAGAGTACCCGGAGAGAACCCACACATGCTCAGGGAGAACATGTAAACTCCATGCAGAAAGAACCTGGGCTGGGAATCGAACCCGAGTCTAAGTCTATTTGTATAAATAATATTTTTTACTATCAGAGCAATACACGCCTTAATTAAATACTGATGAAAGTATCATTGCAAAAAATCTCTTGTGCACTAAACAAGACTTTGGCAAACCAAATTTCAAACTGAATTAGGTGAATATATTTCGCCCATAAAAGCTTCAGCATGAAAGGGACCACGTGACCATATGAAACATTACAATGAACCTGTGGAGGTTTTATTTTCTTTTTATTAATGAAATAATTAATAAAATTTGTGTTCTTTCTCTGTAAAAGTTTGCGGTATGTTAATGAATTTGGCTTTGAGGCGCGAAAGTTTAGAGATTTGCGTCATGCGTAATTTACTAACCTTCCCCTAATGATTTATTATACATATTACTTAGAAGCAGGTGATATTAAATGTTTGTCTCTGTGGTTTTATTGGGCTGCTATTCCGTGGGACACATGCAGACTCAGCGCTGCTTTGACAGTGACCTGAAATAACTTCCAGCCGAGGTCGGCTGAGGTAACGACCGCCACACTCCTGCGTCATTTAGTCTGAATTCCATTGAAACCTCACAGGAGCTAACTGCACTGGCTCACACTTCATCTACTTTTCATTATTTGACTTCTTTTGGAATGAAATAATCAGATAAACGGACTTACCACCGACTGGTGTCGCAGACCGCTCTCCGCTGTGTTCAGGCACCCTGTTTTTTGAAAACGAAACCATACAAAGGATGAGGGTAACATTTTTGGTTTCGTTTTGAACTCTGCCAACATGGACGTCTACAGGAACAGAGTCACGTTTAACTTATTATACGATATTTGGGTTTTAATTAGACATTCGGGGACACTGAGGGTTTTGTAGTGGATAAATGCGTTATGCACAATAGATCTTATCCAGCTGCGTGATGCTGGACTGGAGTCCAGCCTGTGCAGTATACAGGAACCGCCATCTCTCATGGCGCTGCGGCAGGACGCACAACAGCACAGAGAGCAATGGCTGAGCTGAAGGAATCAAATACTTTAATAAGGATGGCCAGGCAATAATCAATGTACACTGAGGGGTGTGGCCGAAAACGGATTGGCACCAGAACCTTATGGTCAATCTACATTGTTTCAACAGGAACAAGCACAACATCCATATTTCTAAATAAAAACAAACCATAGTTTCCTATATATGGAGGACCAATCCTGCCATAATTAAAAATAAATACAGATGTTAAATGCTCCAAAAAATAAATAATACAATAAATAAATGTAGGTAGAAATTAAATTGTAGGGTGAGACATAGAATGTATATCTCTCTTTTAATTAGCTTCTTTATTTATTCGCCTTCGTGATAATTACCTTATTTATATATAGTCCACTATAATCTTCAACTTTATTTTTTTTTTTTAAGTATTTATTTATGTGCATGTTATAATATTATTGTCTGTATTATTCTTTCTTTGTATTTTTTACCCTAGTTATTTCTTCCATGCTATTTATTTCTGCTTGTCGTATTTACATTTCTGTATGCATTTCTGCTTCATTATGCAAATTAGGCTTCATTATGCAAATTAGCAAGGGGTGTGTCATTGGGGGTCACTTCCCCGAGTCCCCCAATGACCATGGGTACCACTGATTTCCCACTTCAACCTTGGGGTTTCCAGCCCATACTCTGCACCGATGTTCCTGTACAGTACCTCGTTGTAAGCTTTCGCTGCCAGTATCTTACACCCTGCAATTATGTGCTGGATTGTCTCAGGGACCTCTTTGTCCCCTGAGACAATCTTTGCACCTGGGGTCTTGTCTGGTGTGGTTGATCCGGGCCTCTGTTGCTCTGGTGCTCAGGGCCTGCTCCTGTGCAGCCATGATGAGTGCCTCTGTACTGTCCTTCAGTCCGGCTTTGTCTAACCATTGGTAGGATTTCCTGATATCTTCCACTTCAGCTATGTTTCGGTGGTACATCCCTTGTAGGGGCTTATCCTCCCATGATGGAACCTCTAGCACCTGTCTTCTGTTGCCCATTGTCTGAGACATTCACTGAGGATGTCGTCTTGGAGCCTTGTCATGCTCACTACACCTCGCCCTCCCCATATATATATATATATATATATATATATATATATATATATATATATATATATATATATATATAT